TAACAATTTAATAAATACTTAAATAGAAGCTAGTATTTTTGTGATTAAAATAAAATCGAACGACAAATGTGATGTAAATTTAAAAACTTGGGACATAGACTAAGATTTGATTGGTATAGTTAAAGTATATTTAATATCTCTTAATGTTTTTAATATATCTTAATATCATTATTATGTATATATTTGGCCCGAGATTGATGTAGACCTGTGTTGTGGCTATGACTCAATTAGTGGTCCGCGACGTGAGCTCTACCGCACGTCGTGTTCATACACAGAAACAGTGAGTCTGTCGCCGATCGCATGACGTGAGCTCTACCAGACACTAGCTATTGAATGTTGTTCTAAATAAGGTACAATCGATTTAGTGATGGCCATACGAGCACACCGTCGGCCACTGGAGACCTCAGTTAGAACAACATTCAATTCTGTTATGACCGGTTTAGGCTACAGTCTGCCACCGGATACCTCATTTAGAACAACATTCAATTCTGTTATGACCGGTTTAGGCTACAGTCTGCCACCGGATACCTCATTTAGAACAACATGCAATTCTGTTATGACCGGTTTAGGCTACAGTCTGCCACCAGATACCTAATAACTAATATTTTTTCATAATGTAATATTTATAAATAAGTTTTAAAACAATACAAAATTTCAAATAAATCAATATCTAATTTAAAAATATTTTTAAAAATTTTAAGTTAATTAATAAAACTGTTATTTAATATATTTCTTATATTTTAATATTGCAATTAATTAGTTTGATATGTTAAAGGGTAGAAAGATGGCACAACAAGTTATTTTCAAATACTAAAATTTTGCATAATTAAATTAAAATAACTACAAAATAATTATTTTTAATTTATTTAGGGAAAAAATCATCCATGTTGTTTTATTATTAGGCTAGACATAATAATACAATTAAGATCATTTTATTTATTTTAATGATCTAACTTCACAGTTTCCGTACCCTGATATCTAACTTAACACAACTAAAAATAAAAAATTATAGTTATTTTTATATAAAAATTAATTTAATTATTTTATTTTAATTTAATTAATGTTAAACATTAAATATTATAATTATTATAATGTAATTTTTAAAAATATTATTTTGAGTTTAAATTGGGTTTGTTGCGTTTACTCCAATTCATATTAGATATTAGATACATAATATATATTTTAATTAATAAATGTTTATAAATAAATTTAATGTAACATCATCAAAAATTATACAATAAGTACTGTACATTAAATCTTTATATAAGTTAAAAGTTCTATTCTTTACTAAATTATTTTAGTAAACTGTTATTTAATATATTAATAATATTTTATTGTGTCTGTTAATTTATTTGATGAGGTTAATGGTGTAAAAATGGTAGTAATTTTCATAATTCTATTTGTTAAAAATTTTTAATACATTTTAAATATTAAAAAACAATTATTATTTAATAAAGCACATTTAATCAATAAATTAATTAGTACTTTATAGTGGTTAATTATTCAGAAAATGCTAAACATAGTATCTAAATTCAAATATGAATAACATAATCATGACTATTTTATAAAGATTTTGTTTTAGTAATTGTTAATATTTAGTGTAAATAATTTTTCTGTTATTATTATTTCATAATTTTTATTTTATAATATATTATTTTTAATTAATTAATAATTTTGATTAAAATAATTCATCTTAATGATGGCTCGCATTTTCTAACACCTTGTTGGTACGGATATTGTTTACATTTACCCTGATCATAAAACAGTATCAGATCATCTAGAATGTGTCTAGTTTTGGCAAATTCATCCATCGCGCAATCAACCTATCATTAAATCAAATGTCATTATACAACGTAATTTAATAAACATTTATTTTAAAAACTTATACATACTTTACCACAAGTGGCGTAACAATCGGTGGCTTTCCATAGAAGACAGCAGTAATACTGGATGTCCTCCTCATTGTCACCGATGGCCAGCGATGACAAGTCCTGATGAAAGCAGTCGTTAACATCTAACCAGGATTTCTGAGCGCACGGATCGTTATGAAGATCTGTTTCCGGATCGTTGGCTATTCTGATCAACAAATTTGCGATTGTGTTGTGCTGTGTCGGCACACTTTCGCTAAAGTGCCCTAGAAGCAATACTACGATCATGGTTATAAACATCATTTTTGATTATTTAAGTTTTTACTGTTAAATAATTATTATGGATATTAACACTAGTTATGAATTCAACATTTAATTTGTCATGCTTATATACTTTAAAAATTTCTGTTTATAACAATGTTAAGGTACAAAATTACTGAATGGTTATAAAGTAATTAATGCACTAGATATGATATTATATCGTGGTATAACTTAAACATTCACATGTAAAGTATATTTTAATACACGTTCTAAATAAATGTTAAACAAAAATTTGAAATCTGATTTTTAAAAAATGATAATTTAAGCTTATTATTATAAGCTAATAGACATATTTTAATGATTATTTAAGATTAATCCACTAGTACATATAATACTTATTATAATACTTACTTATATAATACTTTTACATTTTGTTCAAGCAAGGTTATAATGAACGACATCACAATAATATATCTTTAATCAATTAGATTGCAAAGTAATTTAAAAAGTTTATAACTTTTAAAAATCATTGATATAGTTTAATAATTGAAGCATTAATTTGTTACAAGTTAAATGATGATAGGAAAATTTTTAATAAGTATATAAAACATAGAATTAATTTGTATTTGTATTATAATTTTATTTAAATAATAAAATAAGAATTTGTTAATTAAAAGTATTTTTAAGTTCTTTTTACATTGAACGGCCATTAAAATATAAATTTTAACAAAATAATTAAATTTAAAATACTTTTAAACAAAGGTTACAGTTTTGATAATTGTGATAGATTAGTTTTGACAGAGTTTAGAAACATCAAAGAGTTGTTATTTAACCACTTTGGAAACATTTTTATGTAATAGTCATTTGATCAGTAAATTTTTGCCTTCAGTGAGGTAAATTTAATAATAAATGTTATTAAATTAAAAATTCTATAAGTTAATTCTTTGAATAAATTAATTTTAATTTTAAAATATTTCTATGATTAAATGAATAACAAATACTATATACTCTGTATAGAATACTAGCTAAATAAATTCGTTACTTATTTAAAAAGTTTGATGTTTTACTAAACTGTAGACTGTTGTATAAAATATTAATAATATTTTTATGTTACTATCAATTCATTATAAATATTACAAGTTAAATAATAATATGTGAATTTTTAATAAATAAATTAAAATATAATAATTTTTAAATTATATAATTATTTTTTATTTATATAATAATTTTCTATAAAATAAAAACTATTTGTAACGGCTTATCATTTTTGTGCCAAGCATTATTGAGCATAGACAAAATATTTAGATTTAAAATACTTTTAAACAAATTTTACAGTTTAACCAATTGTGATCGATTAGTTGTAATATAGTTTAGAATCATCAAAGAGTTTGCCAAGCCACTTTATACACATTTTATGGTAATTATTTGATATGAATCATATCATATAATAATGTTTGTCAATTATCCGTTTAGCTAAATTTTAGCAATAAATATTAATATATTAAAAATATTGAAAGTTATTCTTATTTATTTAGTATACTAATTTTAATATTAAATTATTTTTTATAATTAATAGATAATAAATATTGAAAACATATCATTTTGCTATATAAATAATACCTTTGAATTATATCCATGGTGTAATGAGTTATAAATAATGATTTTTAAAATAATATTAATTAATATTTTAATGATTGTAAATATACAACAATTAACTCCAATCGCCGAACCATAAACCAGAAAACACAATACATATGAGAACAATACATAGTATTATTAAAAATGCACAAAATAACATCAAGGGCCATTTCAAAAGTTTTTCCTTTTGGTAAGGCATAGTTGGATAAAAGTTACAAATATTTTGCAAACAGCAAAATTAATCTAACAAGTAACAAATAAAAATATAAATAAACTAGCAGTGACTTAAATACTGTGCTAGATTTAATACATCTTTAATTTATTGTTTTATAACAAATAGTATATCATTGCTAAGTAATACACATTATATTACAGTAGTTTCCTGGATATCATCGGATGTTTATTAAATATTTAATGTGATATTTAACTGTTGCCTAGGTTAACATTTATGTATGGTCTGTATAGTCTTAATTAAATAATAGTAAAAATATTTATAAATTTTTGCGAAATATGAATTATTATTAAAAATAAAAATAAATTATTTATAATGATGTGACAATCAGCTCAAACATGCTGAATTATTTTATATATATTCACAAATATATGTGCTAATTGTGATAAATATAAATGTTTATTTCTACTAAAATTATAAAATGTTTCTGTATAGCATTAAAAAGAAACAAACATGAATCATGTTACATCATGTTACATGTTACATGATACTTTATGTAATAAATTTATATTAATAAAAAAATTATTTCTTAAATTTTAATATTTTATTAAATGTGAAAACTATTTGAAATATTAAATAGGATTTAACTGCTTATGAATGATATTCATTGGTAATTAATATATTTAAGAAATAATTATTATTTAGATATTACTCTAACCTTTTATTTCACATATTACTGACTCCAATATTTTGTTGCAGTTTTTAATTATAAATGTCATTTGATTTTTTAAAAATAATAACTAATAAGCTAATTATAAGTTAATATAACTATAATTTTTTAATTTAAGCATTTAAATATTATGAGTGTAAAATAAAGAAATCACAAAAATTAATATTTTAAAAATAAATATGATAAAATATTATCTAGATTTTAAATTAAATAAAATAAAACTGGATTTATTATACTATAATGTTGTAGAACTTGACACATGCCTACAATGGGATGTAGTCTCAAAAGATGAGACTCAAAAGTCAAAATAATCGTCAATTTAAGATTATTAAATAATAGCTAACAATAATATACAATTTATTTTTAAATATAAAATATTTATTTCATTTATAGAAATACTTAATAATGTAACAAACTTAATGTAAATAATATTCTTGGATAAAAGTTAGATAATTATAAAATTAATATAACTCAGTAAACTCTATATGATTGTTATTTATTATTGATAATAGTAAATTTCGATCAATTTAATTATATTAAATTTATTAAAGTATAATCTATTTAATTAGTTTTAATTAATTAAATATTTAATTTATTTAATTGTACATGTTTGAATGTAAGTATGGTAAGGGTAGTCTTTACAATCTTGAGCATCACCAAGGGCGATGATCACATCCAGTATATTTTGCAACGTTGTAAATTCAGTCGAAGTACAGTCGGCCTGTTTATTAAAAATGAATATACAATCAATATAATTATAATTTAATAAAATAATTCAAAACTGACCTTGCCGGACAAAGCTACACAATCATAGGCGAGCCAACCTATGCAACACACACCCTTGGTTGTTGTGGTATCTTGGTCAATTCCCGATATTCTTTGGTCAAATAATTTTAACGTGTCGTTATAAGATTTAATGTAGCATGGGTCATTTTGTAAATCGGTAACAGGGTCGTTTGTAATTGAGCCAAATAACTTTATGACTGAGCTCTGCACTGGTATGCTGTAGGCGCACTGTAACACTAATAATAAAGTAAATGTAATAAGCAACATTGTTATTTTATGTTTTCAGTTAAGGTAGTTTAATTATTGGTCAAATTCATTATTGTAATGATTTTATTTTTTGTGGACCTTATATACAGTGATTTATTTCCAGATGTTTTATACCATGGTATGATAACTTAACCACATTTTCCCATGATTTTGATAAGCTGGATTATTTCATAGTAATCGTTTGTTATGTCATAAGGGTTAGTTAATTTATTAATATATTTTGTGATTATATAGTAAGTAGAAACTGTAATAAACTATTATAATAGTTTTTTATATTTCAACTAAACCCCATGATATGAAAACTTGGTTAACTTTTGCATGAATTTTTTGTAAACTTGACATATTGTACAGATTATTGATAATAATTATATCTTATATTTATAAAATTTTAAAATTATCTTAAACAATTCATTAAAACTAAAAGTAAAACTATTTAAGTTATATAGTAAATAACAGTAAACATCGGTCTATAATTGAAAATAAACTTTAATTTTTAATTAAGAGTTTTATTTTTAAATTAATTAAACAATTCATTTATTTGGCACAAGTATTAATGCCGGTGTGGTACGGGAAGACCTTGCAGGCGCCGGCATCACCAAGGGCGATAATCTCATCCAGGATCTTTCTCAGCGTGGTAAACTCAGCAGCTGTGCAGTCGACCTTTGTATTTATAAAATAAAAGTCAGAATGGTTATAATTAATTAATGGCCAAATCAAATAAAAATTTTAATTAAAAACTCACCTTGCCAGATGAGGCCAGACAGTCGTTGGCAACCCATGAGATACAACACCGGTACTCGGGATGAGTGTTATCAGGGTCGATGTCGGGCAGTTTCTGGTAGAGACATTGGGAGGCATCGGCGTCAGATTTTTTCGCGCATGGGTCATTTTGGAGATCAGTAACAGGGTCGTTTGCGATCGAGCCCAAGAACTGGGTAACTGAGCTCTGCACGGGTACGCTGTAAGCGCAATGAACAGCCAATAATACAATCAGGGTAATTCTCAACATTGTTAATTTTTTTAGTAATTAGTTTTATTTTTTCTAAATTTATTATTGTAATAATTTTATGTTTATCATGGGCTTTATATATCTCAAGTTATGGAAAGTAGAACACATTTTACCAGGATTTTGATAAACTAGAGCAAATTTTTTGATGATGGTAGTAGTTTATATCATAGATTATTTGATTGGAAATGTTTTATTATAACTTATCTTATCTATAATTAATAATTAATAAAAACAGTATAAGTGGATGAATGGAGAGAGAGAGGGAGAGAGAGAGCATTTAAAATTAAATTAATTTAATATTTTGTTTTTAAAAACTGTAATAATATATTGAAATGAATAATGTGTAAAATATAAAGTTTAGTAATTATTAAATGATGAGCATATCCCGAGTAAAACCATATTTTTTAAATAATAAGTAATTTTTAATAAATTCATATTCATAAGCAAATACCATTTGCCGTATAATTTGAAACAACCTGGTTTACAACACGGATTTAAAATGGGAAATATTTTTGCCATGTAAATATATCTATTCTATAACAATAAATAAGTAATCTGTAATTACAATAAATTTATTTATTTTAATTTTCATGAAGAAACTTGGGCAAGTTTAATGGTCAAAATGTCTATATAAAAGATTATTATTTATTTTTAATTTTGAAAATGAGAGAGAGAGAGAGAGAGAGAGAGAGATAGCGACAGAATACAACGAAGCAAATATAATAAACTTGTAACTTAGGTAATAAAATCAACAATACATAACGCAAGAAAATATTATTTTATTTGAGTATAATATTATTTATTAAATAATTTTATTCAAATAGTAATTTAACACTAAATCTATTTGGCACAAGTCTGAATGCCGCTGTGATAGGGGTAAGCCTTGCACGCACCGGCATCACCTAGGGCAGTAATCTCGTCCAGGATCTTTCTCAGGGCACCAAACTCAGCGGCGGTACAGTCGATCTAGATGTTTATAACAAATTTTATAGATACTTATTAGTTTAAATATAAATAATATATTTAATTAAAAACTAACCTTGCCAGCCGAGGCCAGACAATCGCTGGCAACCCACGTGACACAACATATGTACTTTGGGTCAGTACTGTGTGGGTCAATGTCCGGGATTTTCTGGATGAGACATTTACCGGCGTCGTCGCGGGACTTTTTTGCGCAAGGGTCATTTAGCAAATCGTGTGCAGGGTCACTTGCAATCGAGCCCAACAACTGGGTGACCGAACTCTGTACAGGTACGCTGTAGGCGTACTGAATCACCAATAATACAACCAAAGTAATTTTCAACATTGCTGATTTTTTTGTAGTTTTACTTATTATGTTCAATAATAATTGTAATAAACATTTTGTGTTTTTTGTGGGTCTTATATATACTAATTTAAACAACAAGGTGAAAAAACCTTTCAGGATACTGATAATCCGGAATATGTTTTGTTTGATGATGATAATTTGTTATTTCATATTGGTTTGTTTATTTAGTGTAATGTTCTGTATTTTGACTAAATTAAATGTTAGTATTTATTATATTACGTTTAGAAATGAAATGTATAGTATTTGTCTTATATCCGTATATGAGATGTAAACGGGATTGTTGTAAATTTCGTAGTAAAGATCAATAAATTGTACCATGCTCTTAACATGCGTATATATGGATGATATGGAAGGGTAAAACACCTTTTATGAAAGGGTAAAACACCTTTTTATTATTTTCATCATTCGGAATATTTTGTTTTGATTATAACTTGTTAATTATAAATAAACGAGATTGTTATATTACATTTAACAATATTAACTCACATTAATAATTAATACCGTTCTATAAGATCTATTGTTTTAAATTAAGCAAAGTAATAATTAAACTCGTAAAAAACACAAAAATAAATTAAAGTAAACTAATGTTTCTAATTCTATTGTTTTATTAAACGTAATAATATCTAATTTATTCATTCATTAGATTTTATTTTATAATACATAAATAAGTGGTTATATTTTAACATCGATTACACCATTACTTGTCTCGTGTCTAATGCTATCCATACCATGATTAATAACATCCCTGGAGTCGCGATCCTTATCCTGATGGTCGTTATACTGCCAGGCCATACACCCGGCGTAACCGCCAAAGTAGTAATGTTTATACACCTGAGCCGAGTCCGACATACAGGACCTTTTGGTGGAGAACTCGCCGACCATAAGGGGTTTGTCGAGTGAGTACTGTTGAGCCGTGCGTTTGATGGGATGCTCTGCCCCGCACTCATACGAGTGCATCTGATAGAAGTCCAGCACACCATTGGCTTTGCCACCCGCGGCCACCAGACACTGATCCTGATATAGATTGAAACAATGGTCGCACTGACCGGTACTGGTCTTGGGATTCCATGTGCCCACCGATACCAGCGCTGACGGGTCTGTCGTGTGGATCGTCGACGAGATCCAGTTGAAGAACCGCAGGATTCTTATGTCAATTGTATTGTAAAAATTAAATACAAATTAAACCAAAATTTATAAATATCCCAAAAATTAAGCTGATATAACATACCGTTTAATGGGATGTTTGGACTCATAGCCCATGTTTTTGTTACTTTTTTGCCACCGATAAATGTCAAAACACGTGTGCGGATCAGTCTCTTTGGTCCAGATATCCATCGCACCCTCCGGTTCGTTCTCTATCTCCCACGCGGCCAACGCTTTCTTACCTATTCACACAGCATTGGCCCGGAATATGCCTTATTAATCACGCAATTTAATTATATAGACATACCTTTGAGCCCCTGAACCATAGGTACGAGCGCTTTGTCCAGATATGACTGAATCTTCTTCTCGTCGGTTATAAAACCCGAGTCTTTCGCATAGATATTGTCTATTGAGTGAAACAATTGAAACAAACAAACGTTTAGTGCATTAAATAACAAAATTAGCTCAACTCAATAAATGCATACTTACTGGTAAACATGCACAATATAATAAACACGTTGTTGGCCTGGGCGTCATCCATGAGCGCCTGTAGCTCTTTGACCAAATCGTTTTGGCTATCAGTGCCCACAACGTATCCCTGGGCGTCAAACTCGGGCGAAATAGCGCCGCCAAAGTGTAGCCAAACTCGGGCCACATTCCCGCCGTGGGTGTGAATGCCGGCCAACCATTCGCGCATTTTTGCCCTGTGCTCCCAATACTTGCCATTTCCCCAGTCGTGGCCCAAATCCTCCGAACTCCACGCTATGTTAGCGCCCGATAGGAACACCTGTTGGCCGTTATAGTGAAACTCACGGCCCTTTACCGTCAGGTAGGCCTCCGACCCCCGGCACAGGTATGCGAGTACTGATACAAGTAGTAATGTTTTAAACATTTCGTTTTGGTTTGTGTTACTAAACACTTGCCTTGAATTTTATTGTAAAGTGTTTGGATTTTTATATGTGATGTGAGTTATTGTGGTAATTAATAATAGTTATCTGTTATTATTAAAAGTATATTTTAGATTAAAGTACAAAACTATACTGGTAGATAAGCAAAATTAATCCAGGATATTTTTGTAGTTTAATCTATGTAGATCACGTATGATCAAGGTAGTTTTGTCAATGTATTGTTGGGGAAAATAGTCATTTTAAAATTAATGCGGAAATTAACTAATTATTTAACAAACTGTAAAATTATTGAAATAAAATGTAATTTATAGTAGTTGCTATATTTACAATTATTTTTGGGAGCAATTCGTTGGTACAGTATTTTTAAATTACCTGGCTTAATAACATAAAAATTAATCGTTATTTGAAGTAAACACTTATAAATAAACTATTTTTATCAGCACTTAATTATTGGACATTATATCAAAACATAAATACAATATTCTTTTAAATAATTTGTAGTGCTCTCTCTCTCTCTCTCTCTCTCTCTCTCTCTCTAAAAAAAAGTATATTGACATGGTAAAAATATTTCCCATTTTAAATCCATGTCATGAACCAGTGATTGTAACTATAATGAATGCTCGTATTTATCTGGCAAATGACATAATTATATAAGAATAGTTTAAAGTCGTTAGAGGCGCTCAACTATCTATAATTATACATTATTCATATAATGAATTCATTAGAAACTACATTTATTGCAATACATATAGGAATACTTTGGGAAATACTTATTATTTATTAATTACTAAAACTTTATATTTACATATTTTTTATTCCAATATTTTAATACAGTTTTTTACAAACAAAATACTGAATTAATTTACACATAAATTCTCTCTCTCTCTCTCT